TGTTACATTATCATCTGAATAGTCCTATGATGTTTGCTTTTGTTTGTTCCAGGCTGTTCAGATTTTAGTTGGTAATAAAGAATAGATGTCAGAAAGTTATGTGCTGTACATATAAATTTAAGTAGCTATTGTTTCTCTTTTGACAATTTAATTGTTTAAATAAAATAGTTAGTTGGTATGCATAAGGTAAGGAATTATCTACAAATAAATATTTCATAATTATTTAAAACGAAAAACTTTAATTCAAGCAGTTCAAGTAAATTTTGTCCAACCCTTCTAATATTAGTTTAAATCTCAACAAACAAATACTTTTCGTTCGATAATACAAAAAAAAACAAAACAAAACAAAATAAAACAAAACAAACGATTCAATTATTATTATTATTTTAATGGAAGAAAACAGTTTTTTTTTCGTAAGCCATCAATTGGTCAAACTACAATAAACAGGCATATAGCACACAATCATGATGGAAGGTAAACCTTGTTTAGCCAAGTCAAAATGAAAAAAATTAGCCTTCATCATGAGCACAAGAATGTGGGCAAATGGAATCGATGATAACAAAAAAGTTTAATAGATAAATAGAACACTACAACAAAGTTCACTAATGCATGCCGTAAATAATTTTTTACGGTGTACATCAATACGTCGTATAAAGTAATGTCGTAAAAAGTGGGTCACTTTTTACGACGTACGCCGTCTAGAGAATGTCGTTATTACCTTTTACTGCGTTAAGTGAATGCACGGCGTAAAAAGTAATATTTTTTATAGCATGCCTCTGAACGTCGTATAATATATCATGAAATTTACGGCTTGTTTGGTAGCACGCCGTTATTATCATTTACGGCGTTCAGTGAATGCATGCCGTAAAAAGAACCAAAATTGATTTTGAATCAAAATTTTAGGAATCAAAATTGATTCGAATCAAAATTTTAGGAATGAATCAATTGATTTTGAAGGCGAACTGGCTGGCTTTTAGGTCTTTTAATGAGTTTTTAGTTTGTTTTTTAGGCTAATGTAGTAAATAATCAATTTCTTCAAAATGGATATTTTGTCCAAATCCCTCATTAAAGAATACAATTTCTTTAATGATTTTTTAGATATTGTTGATGTAAGAATCAAATTAATGCTTGTTTGAAAAAAGCTTTAAAAATTGTTGAAAAGTTGAGACTGAAGTTAATAATTAATTTTAACCCCACGTTTTATGATACTTACAATATATATATATATATATATATAA